CCAGCCTGAGCCGCAAGCAGAGCGCGCTGTTTGTGCAGCCCGCGAGTCGGCGGTAATTAGCGCCTCGATAATCGAAGCCTAAAGTTTTCTCTCGACCTTACCACCGGCCCATTGACACTGGCAGCGCCATTACCAAGTCCGCCAACTAACCCCTCCTTCTTCCTCGACGTTCAAATAGTGTCGGTGCAAACTTGTCGAAGTTCCGACTGCAGCTCAAGCTTGGTAGAATACGTAATGAGTACGTGGTCCCTCTCCCTCTCTCTCCTCCTCCTCTTTCCTCTTCACGTCGGACCATTATACGAGCCGACCCATTATGACTAATCGCTCGGTACGCCTCGCTATCGGGGCGACTCGGCCGAGCACTCATGGCATAGGAAACTCGTACGCGCGCAAGAATCACAGTCGCAACTGTTACCGTGGGATTTACGTTCAAACAAATGCGACCGCTCGCGTTTGGCTCGCAGGGGAGAAACGGCCGCTTCTCGGCCTAAATGAACGGCACTCAGCCGGAGATGGCGCTACGTCCGTCATAATCAACGTGTCGTGGTCGGTAAAGCTGAGATCGAAATTGACTCGTCTCCGTCGCGGCGAGTATCACGATATTAATGAAATATGCGAAATATGCGATACGGCGAGACGACAGGGCAACACAGAAGCGCAGACAATGCAGCGCTCTCTTCTTTCGCTACGTCCGTTCCCGTTCGCTGCTCTCGCTTAGACCGTGCTCTCGTCGAATCGTCTCGTCGTGCTTCGTTTCCCGCACGAGATCGAAGATTCCTCGATAATTCCCATCGTCACGCGATCTCATCCCCGCAGCAAGTGGCCACTCGCTCGGGCGCGACCATCTATGCGATCTAATTTCTGGCTAATCTCGAAGGCGGACGCGGGCCCGACGATGCCGCCGCGAGGGTACGCTTGTGTGAACAGCGAGCGGTCAGGATGCGAGCGAGTACGATGGAAGATAGAGCGGCGAGCGAGCTAAAGAGAGGCCCGGCTGCCTGGCTAGCTGGCTGGCTGGCTGGCTGGCTGGCTGGCTGGCTGGGCTGGTTGGTAGGCTAGCTGGGGTGGTAGAGGGTGTTTAGATATCGGCGCTTCTCTATAGCGACGTATTAGCGTCGCGATTGCCGCCAGCAGCCTCGGCCTAAGTGAATGGCTCTGCCGAGGGCTTTGCTGATTATGGTGTCGCCATTGATCCAGATCGAAATTGGCTTGGCTCTGTCATGGAACGCGCTCAGAGGACCATTAATATCCTCCGCGGTCCAAGAGGAACGGCTGCGCGCCGCCCGTGTCGATGATACGGCAAGGGGAGAGGTCGGCTAATCGCAAATACAGCCGCAGATCGAGGTGCGGAGCCTCTCTCTCTCTCTCTCTCTCTCTCTCTCTCGTTGTCAGGATATGTCAGCCGGTTAAATAATCATCGCTCGCGTTCTCCGAGAGTTTCTTTCGCAGCAGAAGGGAAATAACGCTCGACGTTTTCAATCGATTTTTGTCAGACGCGCGTGAAAACTACCTCGGCATTTCAACGACAGCAAACAACGCCGCTTCCAACACGTATTCGGGTGAACCGGGGCCACTGTCGATGCAGCCAGCGCGGACTGTCGAACGAGCGGATATTTATGGCACCGAGTTTTCGACACGCGATAATTAATTCCGCGGCGTTAAGCAGTCCAGCGTGAACCTAATGACGGGCGGGGCCGGTGGCGGGGGAGGGGGGACGCTCGATTTATAAATCCGTTTGAAATCCAGAATTAGGAGGGCGACGGCTCGCTGTTTGTCTACCCATCGGCGCGGGATTAGTAAATTGTCAGGATTAAAAGGGCTCACGATCAGTAACGAACGCAGCGCGCTTCCCGGAGATTGGATTCGGCGCAAATCTGGCGAAACTGGAACATTATTCTCGCGCTCTCTCCCGCGTCGTCTTGCGCGTGTTTATTTGTTCTTCCGCCTTTATTGCTCTCTCTCTTTCTCTCTCTCTCTCTCTCCTCTCCTCTCCCCTCCCCTCCCCTCTCTTCGCCTTCCGTCGCTTCCCCCTTTCTTCTTCTGTCGCCTGATTAACGGAAATTACAACGGACTGCGAAGGGGCAAGAACGCGCTCCGATTGCGTTAATTGTACAGCGTAGTATGAAATTTATGCAGTAGCTGCTGCGCTTTGACGCGAGTAACAGGTTATAAATATCAGATTGGATGCGAGCGCACTCCGTTTCGTACACATTTATCCACGCGAAATTTTCCGATATAGATAAATTATGCACAGTATCGGAAGCGTGCGAATAATAGCGACGGATTAATTCAGATCGTTTACGGGCGCTTATGACTCTTTTACGTCGCTTATTGCTCTTTTCACCGCGATGAATTACTTATTCATCGGATAAACATCCCGTGACGCTTATTACACGGTCAATAGTCGTCGCAATTAAAAACATCGTGTATGATTATCTTACGGATTTCATTGTTTGTTGTCGACGGAAATGGATGCGAGACTAATCGATAAATTTGACCGTGTATGTGTGTCTTGTTAACACCGAAACGCAATCTTTTCAATCGTGTGACGAAATAACGCGGGCAACGTGTGTTTGACGCGATAAGTTACGGGGAAAGTGAAGACAATACCGTTTGCGGCGGAGTTAGCCTCTCTCTCTCTCTCTCTCTCTCTCTCTCTCTCTCTCTCTCTCTCGCTCGCTCGAAGCTGAAACGATTCTATCAGTCTTTATCGACTAATTGAGGTTTTCAAAGATGGTCGTCCAACGAATTGGATTAAAAAACTGACGGTTATTGGAGATCAAAGAAACCCATTTTCCAGCGCTAATAAAAATACCGCAGCAGCGGGCTCTACACATCGCAGTTGCCGTGTACATAGGGTGTTCGTTTGATTCGTTGTTTTCTCCCTTGATCATGTTATCCGAAATTCGGAATGGCCGTATTCGCGAGCAAAATGCAAACAAGTCGTTAAATTTGTTATTTTTTTTTATTTTGTTAGAATTGATTTCCCCGAATATTAAATATTACAAAAAGTTAAAATTTATTAAACGACCATAGCTAAAAATGATTTCGACTACATGCAACATCCTCTTCTCCACCAATTTACACAGCAAAATTCCCTGTAACCAAAGGGACTTGAAGTTTGATGTTTAATTATCGTGATGTTTAAAGTCGCCCGAGAAATCGAGGAGAATCAATCAAAAGAGAGGCACGCGAATGGAAGTAAAATTCAGCGCGCGAGAAGAAAGTCGATTCTAAATTTCCTCGACGTCGAAATTTCAATTTCCGAGATGCTCTTTTCCCTCTCTTTTTTTTTCGGGACACCTCGTGGACACGACGATGAAGACTCGAGGTGGGTGGGTGGTGCTTCCCTTTCCTCCGTCTGTATTTGTCGATTGCCAATATCTCGGCAAGATGGCAAGCGAGGACGGGATCGAGCAGGCCGGGATTCCTGGTTCTGATAAGAGTTAGTGCTCACTTGTTGACCCGTTTCAACGATCGTAACTTATCGAGACACGAGACGGCGATTGAGAGCAACGACGTGAGGGCTGGGGGTGCACCGAGAGTTTCGGATTTATTGAGAGGTCTTAATACGCGAGACGTTTCGCGAGTATTTTTATCGATCGCGCGTGCGAAACATCGATGCGGTTTCGCGATTTTTAGCCGAAGAGTAAAACCGCCGGCATCCAGCGAGCGACGTCGTCGATTTGACCGAGCATTGGCGTGTTTGTGTCTCCCTGCGAAGCATCACAGCAAATATCGGGAATTCGCGGTCGATCGAGCGTCACCGATACACGACTCGGCGGGGATTATCAGAGTAAATCGAGATTCCGCGATCGACTGGACCGCTGGCGGTTCTCGATCGGCGTGTGATGTGCGTACGTGTGCGTGTGCCTGTGTGTCAGTGAGTCGCTGATCGCCGTGAAGTGGCCGTCTGCTCGGCGTCAGCGGCGAGTAAATTTTCTATTTTATCGCCCGTGCGCGCAAATCATCGCATTTCGACGCATCCCGCGACGCCGCGCCGGGGGGCGCCGATTGGATTGGCGCGGTCGTGATAGTTGAGTAGTATTACAGACGCGGCCCGCGACCAATGGCGATCCGTTACCGCGTAACTACAGCTGGAACTGATAATGGATTGGAATTGTTTGCAAACTACATGGGCCGCTTTAGCATCAGCGTGAATAGCACTCCGTCGCCGTTGCCGTCGCGTACGCGCGCGCTTGCCCAGTCGCACGCTCCGTTTGTATCCGTAATATGTTTCGGTAATTGGTCGGCTTTTACGTGCTCGGCCGGACGGAATTGTAGGTTTCCCTACGTGTCGATGATGGGTCGGTTCATCGATAACGCGTCCTGCTCGGGGACGTAGATCGGCGCGTCGGCCGTCTTTGTCCAAGTTGGATTGCTTCCTCCCTCCGTCGCCATCCCCTGCCCCCTTCCCTCTGCCGCTGTAGGTCTCTAATTGCCGGCAGTTGGATCACCTCTCGTGAGAGAGCGGAAGTCATGGATATAAACTTGCGGTACGAAATAGTTTCCGCTCGGAACTTTCCCCGCCGACTGACTTCCACACGTCAGACACCGCGTCGTCGTTAATCTTCTTAACGTTAACGCACTCAACGACGACGTCGAGGTTCGAGGCTTGGCCGAACGATCTCCCGATGATATCTGATGGAAAGCCCGTTGCAAGGATTTCGCGAGTCGTCGGCCAGTCTCCGGCGCGGCTCCGAGGCGTGTATCGTCAGAGCGTGAACGTTCGGCACTCGCGGATCGTCACTTGTTACAGCTTATTATTAAAGTCCCAGCATCCAGGCTCGCCTCGGCCGGTCGGCTTTTCGGCCGAAGATCTCGTTCCCCTTTCTGCGCTCTTCGCGCGCGAGACGCCACGTGACGTCAATGAGTCGTGATCCTCACGAGGTACATTTCGGCAGAACATATCAATGTCGCGGCACAGCGTGCTTTTGTCGAGGAGGCAGAAATAACGATCGGCGGGGGAGAAAGTAATAAATGCCGTGCATTGTATTCACCTGTGCACCGACGAGACCAGCGCGTAATCTAGGGATGTCCGTGTGACTCCAGTCTGATCTGGCCCAAGGGTCGACCCTGCCGAGGTCGCTGCTCAGGTTCACCTCGCCAAGTTGATTGTGTACGAACTTTCTGACGTTCCAGGGCAAATCGTTGTGCCTGAAAATGATGAAGCGCGTATCCTGTATCAGGTCATCGTGTTAGCGCAGCGGGTTCCGCTATCATCATCGCGGGCGCGAGCTATCATCGGGCGCGGCAGAGTTCGCGAATTCGCCCTGTGAGCGAAATATCGTCTGTCGAAAATCGCGCGTTGTTCTCGCGCGGCTCGAGGGTATCAGTTGATGACGTAACATTACATTCGCAGTACGCTGCTTTGCCGGATCTATCTAGCGCGTAATAACGTGTGTGCTCTCGGCGCCTGCAAATAATAATGTAACCTGAGATTAATGAGCAGGATTGAATCGTAGCAAATTTATCGGGCTTTCGCGAATACCGATTCCGGCGATCGGATCGATATCATTACGTCATGATGATACTTCGGCACGGTTATTCTTCGCTAACGAGACTTCATACCGCGCGGGATCGTCGAGGAAAATTCCGGCCGAGAGATTCGGCAGATATTCATTTTAGTAGCGCGCAGGTAGGTAGCCGCGCGAACGCGATCTCTCGTTTCTCTCTCTCTCTCTCTCTCTCTCTCTCTCTCTCTCTCTCTCTCTCGTTACATGTCAAGATTCTCATGTCCTCGCTTTCATCTCCCGCCGAATTGTGAGTACTCACCCGTCGATCAGAGGCACTTCAGTGAGGATCCTCCTGATCACGTCCAGCCTCTGCTGGTGCGTGGCAGGCGCGGATTGAAGAAGCAACGGCAGACAGAGGCCTCCAAGAAGCAGGGCGGCTACTAGGAGCAAGACAGGCGCCAACAGTCGACACCTCCTGCGAGGACTCTCGTCTCTGCGATCCTTGCTGCTGCCGCTGCTAGGCGAGTCCTCGCACGGCGGCGGTAGTCGCACGGTGCCGTTGCACGGCGCCACGTCTGGCAGTTCTGTTAGGCACGTGGTCTGAGAAAGAAAAGAAAGCGCACATTCAGAGAATTGCGCGCGGCGTACGGCGTTCATTGCGTTTCCCATCGATCTTGTCGCGCGAAGGCGATCGATGTATAATAATCGAGCGGCGGGATTCCACGGAACTCTCGAGTCTCGAAATTTCGTTTCTATATTGACCCCGCAAATTCCGGCGAAATTGAGGGATCAGCGAGGAGGAACCTCGGGGCAGGAACGTCGTAGCTATTTCTGTTTTCTAATGCTACGAAGCTTATCGTTGCTTTGTCGAGGCTTAAATCGAGGCTGGCGTAATGATTATTTAATATTCGATTATCTCAATTGCATGTGCGCTTGGTCCCTCTTGATTTTGAAACGAGACCTTGGACATTGCAGTAATTCGAATTTGAATCTCGAGATTTCCCGTTAATTCTTCCAGTTCGTCGATATATCTCGCAGGATTAATGTCGGACAAAAATTTCGACTCGGGAAGTAGCCGGCTGCAAAAACGCGTCGGAGGAATTCCTCGTGCAGCGAGAGTTCGTTCCGCCGCCGCTTGTTCGCAACGAAGGAATCGATGGTGTGCGCAGTGAGTTGGAAAAGTCGTCAACGAACGTTACGTTTCATTAGTCGACGTGCGGAACAAAGACGAAAAATGCGCGTTGCGATGTGGATCGAAGGAGCGTCTCTCAGGAGACGTGTTACGTGCCGGAGGGTGCCGCATATAGCGGAAACGAACGGCTCGGTGGCCGCGACCTGTCGCCGGAAAAAATACAACCAACGCGGCTGGAAATGCAGCCTCGGAGGCAGCCTGGAAGGAGAACTCCTTCGCGGCGTCACTGCGACGCTCTGCAGGCAACGCGGCAAACTTTTGTTCGTCCTCGTTTCGACCACCATAAAACACGTTAACGCCCGGCTACGGATTTTTCGCGTGCAACTATGTACGTGTGTAGCATAGAACACACACACACACAGGTACATACAGATTTGCGACCGAAAGGCGCGTGATACTTGGCGAGCCTCTGGGTATTTTCTTAGCTTCTACGGTTGTCATAAACAACTCGTACCAAGTCCTCATACCGGCTCGCAACTTTCACGCGAGAGCCTCGATACTATTCGCGATAGAGACATCTCGCGCTTGACATATGCAATCGAAGATTGAGGGGAGGTAATAATCAAAGTACGCAGACATTTTTCAAGAATTGAAGGCCATTCCAAGCTGTCCGAGATGGCGTCCTCCGTTTCCCTCCGTGCCCCATTGTCGCAAATAGGAACGAGCGTGGAGAAAATTAACGAGCGGCAAAATTTCGAACGTTGCACTGACACGGCCAGCCCTTAGCGGTTTTCGATTACCCCCCCCCCCTGCGCCCGTCGCACGAAACGCGCGCCTCATCGTCCTTTTTCTTGCGTTCGTTCGGCGGCGTCGAGTTTTCCGTATTTATGGCGCACAATAATGCGGATATGCGGGGGATACGAAGTTTCGCGATGCTCGCACGCGGATGGAAGAAACTCGAGAACGACGAGAGAGCAAGAGAGAAAGAGAGAGCGAACGACCGGATGAAGCCCCGGATTTCTCGACGAGCAACGAGCTAAACCGCGAAAGTTATCGTCGGCATTACCGACGCGAAAGAAACGGCGATACGCGTTATCGTTGCAGCGCGAAACGGCGAGCGCGATTGCCGCTCCTGCGGGGTTCCCCGGCTTCTCCCCTCTGTCGTTTTCTTGTTCGCGGCTCGGCGAGAATCGATTGCCGATACCGCGGGTAATTAATAGCCACCTGAAGCTAATGAAAATGAAAGCTATGAGCGCCGTTTCGAGGCATGTTTCTGACAAAGTGAGTAGATTTCGCGATAGCGCTCGCCGTGTAACTAAAGGATTAAATAATTGGCGTCGGCCAACGGTTGATCCATTTGTTATCAATAGTCAATTTGCGCGGGGAAACACTGTCGCGCGGTCGCTGTGCTATGTACCAAGGTAAGAAAACGAGAAACATGAAGGACGATCAATCGGGGAAGCAAAGGTCGGATTGAAGTGGGACCAACTTTACTAGGTGCGCAACTAAGTTTCCGGGTTTCACACATGGATGGCGCTAACGACACATGTAGTCGACATGCATGTCTGAAGTTGTGTTTTTTTTATAGCTTGAGCATCTGTTAACAATAACCAGTCGTAATACCAACACATATCGCAACGCAAAAATATTTTTTCTAACAACGAAGATGTCGAGTTTTGTGGCAAATAAACAGCATTTGCGGGAAGCTTTGCTTTCCTGCTTTAACTTGAAAAAAAGTGCAGCTGAAGCACGTCGTTTGCTTGAGGAGGCCTACGGCGAACATGCACCATCGAAAACTACCTGTGAAGATTGGTTTAAACGCTTCAGAAGTGGCGATTTCGACACTGAGGACAAGGAGTGCTCCGGAAGACCAAAAACAATTGAGGACGCCGATCTGCAAGCGTTATTGGATGAAGATGATACGCAAACGCAAGATCAACTTGCGGAGGCATTAAACGTGACTCGCCAAGGTATTTCCAAACGTTTACATGCCATGGGAAAAATTCAAAAGGAAGGAAAATGGGTGCCGCATGAGTTCACTGAGAGACAGATGGAAAATCGAAGAGCCACTTCCGAAATTTTGCTTTTGCGGCAAGTTGATTGTGAAAGCAAGAGTTTCCTGCATCGAATTGTTACTGGCGATGAGATATATTTCGAAAATCCCAAACGCAAAAAATCATGGCTTTCACCTGGCAAAGCATCAATATCGACGGCACGGCCAAATCGCTTCGGAAAGAAGACAATGCTCTGCGTTTGGTGGGACCAGAAAGGAATCATGTACTATGAGTTGCTGAAAAGAAGCCGGGCGAAACTGTCAATGGGCATCGCTACCGACAACAACTGATCAATTTGAACCATGCATTGCTCGAAAAACGGCCAGAATGGAACGAGTGATATTGCAGCACGACAACGCTCCGTGCCATCACACTTCCATCGTCCAGGACACCATCAAAACGCTGAAATGGGATCTGCCACCGCACCCGCCGTATTCGCCAGACCTGGCCCCTTCCGATTATCACTTGTTCCGGTCGATGGCGCACGGCTTGGCTGGGCAACACTTGGCCAATTTCGAACAAGTGCAAAATTGGTTGGATGAATGGTTTCGGTCCAAAGACGCGTCGTTTTATCGTCGCGGTATTCATGTATTGCCATAGAGATGGCAAAAATGTGTAGCTAGCGAGGGACGATACTTTGAATAAACCATTTTTTGTATTTCTCTTGAAATTTTCCATTTTTCATTGATCAGAAAAACCCGGAAACTTGGTTGCGCACCTAGTAATTGAGCCGCGGGGACGATTAGCGTAGCACAGTTTATTATTACGCCGTTGCGCTGATTAAATGAGCTTTACATTGAGAGAAAATAATACTTCACGTTACTCAAGCTGTATCTTCTTGTTGTTCTCGCAAAAAAATAATAGTCGCGGTACACGCAGCTCGTTACAGCGAACACCGCAATGAAACTTTCGACAAAAATGAACGATAATTCTTCCGCTCGATGCGCGATTACAGTTACGAAAACTAACCGTCTCTTTCTCTCCAACGCAGCTCTCGTACGATACGTCGTTCAAGCACCGCGCGACAGTTTCGCACGGACTCTCGTATCGAGAACTGTTTGTATCTTTTACCGCACGACCGGAAGACACAACATGGTGTGCCACGCGCGCAACCAGCAACTTTTCACGATTGCGTCGTGTCTCTCGTCCCGCAATTCATGGCACTCTGGAACTATTATAGGCGACCCGATCGCATTCGGCGTGTTCTTACGCTTACGATTAAGCGCCGCATCGCGCCGAGCCGAGTCGAGCCGGCTTGTCGACTAGACGCAAAGTGCGAGATTCGTAGTTGGCTCTTCAGGTATGCATCGGGAAAGTCGGAGGTGAACGTCGTCGTTGATTCCGCCTCTCGTCTCCGCTTAATGGAACTAAGAAGCTCGTAAACGTATTAACTGCTGCAAAGGACATCCGCTTTGATCTGCCGGTGACAAGTGTCTGCGCCGCGTCTCGAGCCTGCGGAGTGGCAGCGGTTGACGCGTCGCGTCGAGTCGACGCATCGAACGCTCGCAAAACGAACGTTGCCGCTCTTCGGCAACGCGAGGTGAGCGACGCGGATGCAAGAATCACGCTCTCGCGTGTCGGAATAATTCGTCTCTCGACTTCGCAGCGGCTCTCTCGCGAGAGATTTCCATCCCGAAAGCGCGCGCACAATAGGAAGAGTGGCGTGCTCTTATTATCCGCGGTGTGGTGTTCCGGAGGATCATTTTCCTTCGTGCAACGTCGTACACGACCCTTCACCGTAACATGAAAATACGAGGGAAAGAAAGTGCAGGCGAGGAAGACGCGCGACAGCCACGATGAGATTTAACGCAACGCGCAGATATGCGTAAAATTTCGAAAAGAGGAGGAAAAGGATCCCCAAGGCTGGATGTGTGCGCGCGCGCGCGCGCGCGCGTGTGTGTGTGTGTGTGTGCGCGTGTGCGCGCGTATCGGGTCAAAGGACTTGTTCTTTCGGCGCGATAAGAGACTTAGAGCCCCCTTTGGGAAATGCATTCTCGTTAAATGAGTTCTGTAACGAGGCTCCTCGCCAAACTCTCTCCTAACAGGGTCCTCTCCTTCGAGCTTCTTGAAGTGCGCCAAATTTTATGTTTCGCCATTGCAACTGGCCGCGGGGAGGGACGGAGGCGGCGAGGAGGGGGAAGATAAAAGCCGCGCGAGTTTGGAGAACGCTTATCTCGCCGTTCATAATTTCGAGAATCGGACAAGTGGGACGTGGTCGCGCGAATGCGGCGACGAACGGTAAGTTTTAAGCCGGAAAGTCCTCGCGCGGAGTTTACCCGTCGTTAATAGCACGCCATTACGCGGAGGCCGGGGTCGAGGGGAGAGTTTTGCGGTCCGTCGCTGGTAATAGATGCGGGAGGAAAGCAGGGAGAGGTTACTGCAGGATTGAAACTCTTATAACGAATATAACTCAT